GGCGGCAAGGTGTTCGGGCGTTGTTCGCCGACCATCTCTCGCTGTAGATTCACAGTACAACCGAAGTTTAAGGTGGCGTGGAACTTTAGCGAGCGGGTTCTTTCAATAGTGCCACCGCGGGTCTACCTCCCTGAAGCACACAGCAGGCTCTCGCGGTTAGCATAAGTAACTTAGTTAGGCCTTTGTCAACGGGAGAAGGACCCGACGCGGAATGCCCGTGGCTCGACTGCAGCCATCATTTCATGCCAGTATCGTTGCTGGTGCGTAATGTGGTTTTCGTCGGTCGCAACGCGGCTTCCAGGTGCTTGAAGTACACTCGCATTCGTTCACTCGCCCATTCTAGCTGGGGTTTTTTCCACGGTTTATGTGATTCCTTTGCAGATGCTGATCCATTGCACTCTTTATTTTGCTGCTGGAACATGGCTGCTAGATAAGTGCGTATGAAACAAATGTGGTTTCACGCTCAAACATTATTCGTGAGGCTGCATTTATATTTTTTACGCGTACTTATCTCCTAACATGTTTTGCTTTCGTTCCAGGAGTGCTGATGCAGTACATATACGAACTGATACACCCCGTGCCACTCCTGAGTATATTCCGCTACATGACCGACGGTGTCTTCACGGTGGTCGTGCTACCAGCATTGCATCGAGTAAGCATGACTCTTGTATTTCCGTGAGTGCAACAGTGAGCAAAGAACCGCCTTGCTTCAAGGTTTGTTAGTGGCAGCCGTCGTTCTATTAAACGTTATCTTGTCCAAAGGTGTCGAGGTGCTCACAATGCACCGTATAGTGACTTGACGTCTTGCTCGTTGATGATGATTTGTGGGGTTTAACGTCCCAAAACCACCATATGATTATGAGAGACGCCGTAGTGGAGGGCTCCGGAAATTTCGACCACCTGGGGTTCTTTAACGTGCACCCAAATCTGAGCACACGGGCGTACATTTCCGCCTCCATCGGAAATGCAGCCACCACAGCCGGGAATCGAACCCGCGACCAGCGGGTCAGCAGCCAAGTACCTTAGCCACTAGACCAACGCGGCGGGGCGACGTCTTACTCGTTGCTTTCATAATCCCGGAGTCGGAAGCTTGGGCTTTTCGGTGGCCGCGACCATGTTGGGCGTGTGAATTTCGTTGATTGCATTTCGGTTTCTGGGTGCCGCTCGTTGCCTTGCGTCCGCGTGCGCCTCATGGTAGCTAGTTTGTCACTGAAGGTTGCTTGGTACTTCTTAAAATACGTTAATTTGCCTGTTTACTTTGTGCTGGTCTCTTATCGTACTTTAAAAATACCCGTTACTTTCAGTCTGTTTACTGACGCAGGTGCACAGCCGAAGAACACAATGGTGGCCGTGGTCGATTATACTGTAAACGGTATATTCTCGTGTAATGTCTACATTCAACGGGTTTTTCTTATGTTGGAATGAGATTTTCTACAGGGTTGTGCACATACGTTAACAACAATTTAAGAACCTAGGTCAAAAATGTCTCTTCCTCTAAATTTACGGCTCTAACGTGTCGCTGTTAGTGCGAGTCTAATTAATTTGTTCTACTCTATGTTGTGCTTAACATAGAAAAACAAACCCAGAAATTTCTACTTTCCTTCGTAGCAAGAGTCTCGTATTGGTAGACTGGGTATCTTATGCTAGTATACGAGGGATTATTGGTCAGCTGCCAGTTCGCGAAACATCACGCGTGCTTCGTGTTGCCAACAGACAGCAAGTTTTCCACAGCTGCGTCGTAGCTATCAGCGATGCTGACTAACGCTACCAGGTTTGTATGCATATGTCTATTGCATAAAGTAGACAAGAGGATGCTTTCCGCTGTATTTCGCTTGATATAACATCGGACGCATTATTTGAAGGCCGCGGGTTCGATCTCTGCTAGGTGCGAGTTATTTTCATCCACTTTTTTTTCAAGATTTACATCAGTCATTAGGAATAACACCCACTACGCTTGCCATGTCTCTTGTGAGTTAGTTCTAATGTTGTGACTAACAAAAAGGAGCCTTTAAGGTTGGCCTTTCGTTTTATCTTTTGACGAGTTTTTATTCAACACTTTTTCCGCACGAATCGTGACAAACTGTCTGGGAAGAGGAAAATTGTCTAATAGTTTTCATGAGATTGAATAATACATTCTAGGAAAGACATTGGCTTCGTTTATTTAGGTGGTGTGATTATTTCTAATGAGTATTTTTTTCATTACTGGGCAGTCCGTCATCATTTCTTTTTACATAAATTATATATTCAAGGTTTGTGTGCGATTTGTTTCGGTTGTATGCATTTAAAGCAAGCAAGTCATACCTTTGTAATTGTAGTTAGAATGTGACTCGCCTGTGGAGCCGTAGAATAACGCCGTGCATTCACTGGTGTGGTTGACTGCAGTCTTAAGCAGCAAATAAGGAATAAGTAAAGACGGGGATGTAAAAAAAATTCGTTGGGCAGTATGGCAATCGGCATTGGTGTCTTGACTCCTCATGTCAGTGCGCGCGCGTGCGTGTGTGCGCGCGTGCGTGTGTGCGCGCGTGCGTGCGTGCGTGCGTGCGTGTGTGTGTGTGTGTGTGTGTGTGTGTGTGTAGTTCTTAACTATCATATATACAAGCTCTTTTATCATGGTCTCTCTTGGGAACTAGACCCCATAACCAGAAAAAAACCACTTGCGTCCGAGTGTGTACGTTGACTCGAGGGATTAATAAGTTCATTCACCTCTCCCCAGGTGCTTTGTCTTCACAACACACCATGAGCCACTTCAGCAGAAGATCGCCTGGTGAGCGTCTTCGCAGAAATTCCTCGAGTAAGCACTTTCTCACATCTCCGCGAGTCGTTCTGAACACACAAAAAATACTGCTTCTAGCTGATTTATTCTCTGCCATGGTCGTCTCAAAAGGTTGCCATAGTCATGCCGAAATATGACCGTATACCCAACACTCACCGTAGCGACTTGGCAACTGCAGAGTTGCGTTCATACGAGCCAATAGCGTGGGTGTTGTTATAATTGCAGCATTGGAAGGTGAACATATTTTGTTATGGAAGAACTCGTGTGTTGTGACGTAGATGGCACGTTAAGAAACCCTAACTCTTCGAAACCTTTAGGTAGTCGTTAAATGCCTGAGCGCATATAACTAAGCTGTTGGTTAATACTGGAACAGACAGTATTCAAGTGACAATAACAGATCGATAGACAAGGCGCTGACTGTCTATAGTTTGACATATAGTCGCTGACTTTCTATAGTTAGATAGTTAGTCGCTGACTTTCTATAGTATAGACAGCCTTGTGTCTAGCGCTACTTGCTTCTGTTCTCAGTAACGACACTTGATTGACCTAATCACGCCCAAGTTTGGCACTAGTGCTCTTTCTTGGCTGAGGGCTAGTACAAAAATAATGTGGTTACTAACCAGGAAGGCTTCCATAGTGTTAAAGTGCACCAAGGCTGAGCATTGGGCTAATTGATGTAGAATGGTTATAGCGCTTTACAGCGTATGGAACGAGGACGAGCATAGAGTAGACAGAATGCTCTCAACTTGCAACTGTTTATTTTTCTGCCACAGCAATATATATTGAGCGTATCGCAAGAAAGAGAAGACGAGCTACATAAAATTAGTCAAGGGAACAGCAACCAATTATTGGTATCGCAAGTTTTGCTAAAAAACATTATCTTTGTGAATTTTTCTAAACTTTGTTAGACAGAATATTAATGAGAATTGACAATTATGCCAAGGAGAGAATAAGGAATGGTATTAGAAGTAATTGTAATCTAGTTGTGAGGAAAGAAAAGGTGGACGAATAGATAACTTGCCATGGGCAGGTACCAAACCAGCGACATTCGAATAACTCGTCCGTTGCTCTGAGCAACCATGGCGGCTATCGCGCCGCCCACTTTATGGAGTATGTCATCATCGTCGTCGTCGTTGACTACATCCACTGCAGGACAATCGCCTACAGTGGGGTATGTCTGTGCATTTAAACATGGGAGCTTGTCAATACGATCTGTTGTCATTGAGGTGAATGTGGAACTCTCATTTGCCTGTTGGCGTCAGGTAGCGCGCGATGTTACGGGCTGGCTGCTGACCAATGATCCCGCGCGTACTTCCTGAAGGCATTAAGTCTGCTAGAACAAGACCCCGGGTATTGAATGAAAAAAGGGTAAATTTAAGGGTGCGTTCTCATAGTTGGACAATGACAACTGACAAATATATGACCAAACATATAGGGGATATTATTAGGTTTCTTAATGAAAGCCTTTAGGAACAGAGGTACAATGTACGTAAGGTTATCGGTAGGTATTTAGGTATTGTCAGGATCGTGGGTGCTGGCCTTTTTTCGATCAAACACGTGGGCTCGCAAGAAACAAAAATACGACAGTTCGCGGAATCATAGCCCAAGAAATCTTGAAACGTTAATAAAAGTACATCAGTGTAGCTTCGTTTGCTCTTGCGAGCCAGCCTGTAATTGCATTTCGGTGTTTGCATCGACTTCAACAAGAACATCATGGGCATGCCTCAATCAGTGATTTAGGTATTGCAATTTTTATTTCACTCTTATTTACTTGTGTGCTCGTCCGTAATGTTTCTTTTCGTTTGCGTCAATTTGTCAATGCTAAATTTTATTCCAAGATTTCGTGGTCAAATTATATATTTAGAGCATTTTAAGGTTAGAATTACCTAAGCCTTCTGCTAAGGCGTGTTTCATGTTCGCTACGTTTGGTCTGAGAATGTAAATCCCCCAAAAATTATCTAATTAAACCTAGTTGTTTTTCCCTCTTTTTCTTACCATTACAATCGGAAACGTAGCATTACCTGCTGCTGCCAACGTGCAAAAGGCACAAGACATTCAATGAATTCTTCGCTTTTAGGTTTCGTACCTTGCATTGTCCGTTGTAATGTTGGGAAATAACTATGATCAAATGTAGCAGTTTTCTACGGAAGGTTTTATTAAATTCCGCGTTTTTGTTTTAGTTTGTGTGCCAAAGCAGCTTCAACTATTACTTGCTTTTCTCACGTAGGCGCACGTGGCCTCCACCTTGGTCAGATTCTCTGACCTTATCCAGATCTCTGCAGCACTGTTTAAAGTACGTTCATATTGCACTTTGACATTTTTCGGCTACTGGCTCTTTCCTCTAAATGACGTCGTAAGACTAGAAAAACGGACATACGTGTCCAGCCCTCTTTAACGTTGCCTTTCCAGCACTAAGGCGTCATTCATACCGTGCTTCAGTGTGCGCCTTGGGTCTTTTAATAAATACTCCATCCATTTAGGTCGCATGATTCAGTGTTCTTCAATATTTAATTCCGTCGAGTGAATGAGGCGTATTAAGAACACCGCGTCTTGCACAATGCTCATGCACAATGGCGCAGGTCCCCTACACAATTGTATATGACTCCTCGCCTGATGCCGCTCTACACCGGTTCGCGTAAATGGACAAAGCATTCGTCTTGCCACGTGAACTGTCCAAAGTAACGAGCTATTCCTGTGCCGTTTCAACTTGTCCATTTGCACTCCTGGCGAAAGTAGATTCAGCATCCTTGCGGGTTCCAATGTGTTGCCTTCCGGTATGGTACTTCTCGTAAGTACGTCATATACGTGGTGCAATGCATGTACAGACTCGGTCACTGTTAAAACGCTCGAAATATCCTTTCTTATTGCTGGCCCCCTAACTGAAAAGTGGATGGGGAAGCGTTGAACGTATGATTTACTAGTTATCAGAAAGAGTGAGCTGTCAACCACCAGTAGCCTTATGCCAATCTATACCCCTGTTTTTATGCAAGAAAATGTAAACTACACATGCTTTGCTAACAAGCGTTCCCTTTGAAAGAGCGGCCGTGTCTGTACAATGCTCACGGATTCAAATGAGAAGTTTTCAATAAGACTGCTGTGCATACTCGCTTGCAATAACCATGTCAAGCCATGGCAAATTTGTTCTCTTTACATTGTATTGGCTCTTATCAGAGCCAACATTGTGAGAATCGCATCATATGACGCAAATTACACAGATGGTTCAAAATAGTAGACGCAAAGACGACGGACAAAAAGACACACACAGGGCGCCTTCGTATTCGTATCTAGTGTAGTGGGGAGGAGGGAGAGACAGTATCTAGTTGGAGCACCTGAAAGACGACTACGACGAAGAGCTGAGCTCGTGATAGTGACTGACGCCTCTTGAACCAGGCAGTTGGTTTTATTCAATAAACCCCCTTATAATTTGGTGGAAGTGCTGGGTAGTCTTCGAAGCTGGAACTACGAAGTCGCACCTTACATGCAGTGCCAGCAATGCCGGAGGAACCCTCCACCCAAGGTACATCGCAAGTTCCCGCCTCTACATGTCCCGGCGTATGGTCACTGCGTCACCCACCGATCTTCAGCGGCACTGACCGCCAAGACGTTGAAGAGTGGCTGGCTACTTACCACAAGGTGAGTGCAGCGAACAAGTGGGACGATGCGGCTAAGCTGACCTATGTAAGCTTTTACTTGTCCGGCGTCGCTAGTCTCTGGTTGCGCAATCACGAAGCCGACATTGCCAGCTGGGATTCATTCAAGGCCTCCTTTTCGCAAGTCTTCGACCGCCCTGCTGTGCGAAAACTCCGCGCAGAACGACTTCGTGAGCGCGCTCAACAGCCAGGAGAGACCTTTACCAGCTACATTGAAGACGTTGTTGACTTGTGCAAGCGGGTAAACCCAGCGATGCTCGAAGCCGACAAAATCAAACAAATCCTCAAGGGCATATGCGATGACGCATTTCAAATGTTGTTAAGCCAAGGACCCACAAACCATTGCCGAACTCGTCAGCTTGTGCCAGAGTTTTGACGAATTGTGCAAGCAACGCGCCCAAACACGGTGCTCTCTGGAACAATGTGATTCGATCGTGGCCTTGACTCTCGGAGACCAGAACATGTTGGCTCGCATAAAGCAGTTCGTGCGTGAGGAGGTCGCTCGGCAGCTCTCCATTTTATCAAGCGCGCCCGAGCCAGTACAAACGCATCCTTTGGTCCCAGATCATTTGGCTTCGGCCATAAGGCACGTCATACAAGATGAGGTAGCGGACGCTTTGCCTTTCGCTCGTTCACCACCTCTGGAGGCCGCACCCTTGACGTATGCGCAAGTCGTTGCAGCCAGAGCACCTCGACAGCCCACTTATGCTACCTCACCGATTCCTGTTCGGTCATCACCAGTTCCGTTCAGCCGGCCGATTGCAGCGTTTCCGAATCTGTGGCGCACCGCAGACAACTGCCCGATTTGCTATTCTTGCGGTTACACAGGACATGTGGCTCGCTTGTGCTGCCTCCGCCCTCTCGTTCAGAGCGACACCATGCAAAGATCGTCGCACGACTCTCGGCGCTTTATCAACACGGCACGTCAACAAGGATCCTCTTCACCCGACCGCCCTCCATCAGTCAGTCACCGATCTCCATCTCCCCGACGTCGCTCCCTGTCGCCTATGCGCCGTCGACCCGCCCTTCAGACGCAGAAAAACTAGATGCAGCAGTTCCGGAGGCACGAACTGCGTCGTCGTCGAAAGAATCAAGTCCTCGCATTTCTCCGACAAACCTCATCGACGTTTCTGTGGATGGTTACCGTACCCTTGCGCTTGTGTAGACTGGTGCTGCCGTTTCAGTAATTGATTTAAAACTTTGCCGCCTGCTTCGGGAGGTTACCACGACGCCAAAGGGATTGTCCCTCCGTACTGCCAGTGCTCACCATATTCGACCATCAGCTGCCTGTACCGCCCGCGTTCTCATCCAAGATGTTTTGTATACCGTTGAATTTCCGTTTTGTATACCGTTTTGTATACCGTTGAACACCGATGCAGATGCTTTTTCTCGTTCGCCCCTTCCTTCAGCCGTTGCACCTGTTTCCTTTGCCGAAGCTACCATCGGCAGCATCGATATCACTGACATGCCTTCCGAACAACGCAAGGACCCTTGGATAGCCTCGCTCATCGACGTTCTCTCCTCGTCTTCGGTGACACCACGCCAGCGTCTACCTCGTGCACTACATCGGCAAATTCCCCATTATGCAATACGGGATGCCATGTTGTACCGTCGCAACTATCAGCCGGATGGTAGGAAATGGCTTCTTGTTATACCTCGCCATTTGCTCTCCAACATGTGCGCGTACTTCCACGCAGACCCTCAAAACGCACACGCTGGCGTTTTGAAAACATACGACCGGCTTCGTCAGCGATTTTTCTGGCGTGGAATGTACTCGTACGTTCGCAAGTACATACGCTCCTGCACTGAGTGTCAGCGACGGAAAACAACTTGTCATGCCTCTGGTGAATTACAACCATTGCCATGTCCAGCTCGGCCGTTTGACAGAATCGGCATTGACCTTTACGGCCCACTACCTTGTACTCCTGCGGGAAATCACTGGATTATTGTGGCCGTTGACCACCTAACCCGTTACGCTGAAACCGCCGCTTTGCCAGCCGCTGCTGCTCGTGATGTCGCCTTGTTCATCTTGCGTAGCTTTGTCCTTCGCAATGGCGCGCCACGTGAGCTGCCTAGCGACTGTGGGCGTGCGTTTCTATCGCAAGTCGTCCAGGAGCTTCTCAGTGAGTGCAATATTATTCATCGCACCACTACAAGCTATCACCCACAGACAAACGGTTTGACAGAGCGCTTTAACCGCACGCTCGGTAATATGCTTTCTATGTACATATCCTCCGACCATTCTAATTGGGACTTGGTGCTCCCTTTCGTGACGTATGCTTATAATACGGCCACGCAAGCAACTACTGGGTTTTCACCTTTTTTTCTACTGTACGGATGTGAGCCCTCTTCTACGATTGACACGATACTTACTTACCGCCCAGATGCTTCAGAATACCGCCCAGCCTCCGAACTTGTTCAGTGTGCCGAAGAGTGCCGCCAATTAGCACGTTCATTTACGTCCGTCGCACAAGGTCTCCAAAAAGAACGACTTGACCAAGACAAGCCTGCTCACAGCTTCCCCGTAGGCTCATTTGTATGGCTTTCGGTCCATTCCAGTACCCCCGGCCTCTCCCGAAAGTTTTCACCCAAGTACAATGGTCCGTACCGCATCGTTCAATGCACGTCACCGGTCAACTACGTCGTCGAACCAGTGACACCTGCCGAGGACAGACGATGCCGTGTCGTGAGACAGTCCACATCAGCCGCTTAAAACCTTACTATGATCCCCTTGTGCTTGCTTCGCCGTGAGTCGCCAGGATGGCTCCTCTTCACCACCGGGGCAAATGTAGTGGGGAAGAGGAGAGAGACAGTAGCTAGTTGGAGCACCTGAAAAGACGACTACGACGAAGAGCTGAGCTCGTGACACAGACTGATGCCTCTTGAACCAGGCAGTTGGTTTTATTCATAAACCCCTTATACTAGATTTTAGCTTGATTTTCATTGCGCCTAATATTTCGAAACATTCTTGGTGCCGCTTTCACGCCGTGAAGTTGGAGCAACCTACCTATTGGCGTGCGCAGTTCTCCCCTTCAGATGGCGAAAGGAGGAGGTGCCCAGTCGTAATAATTGTGGAAAGCATGTGCGTTTGTCACGAGGAAGGTATTTATGTGCTTGCATATCTGCACCCGCTGTCCCATGTATGTCTACCCGCTGTACCCTTGAGATAGTGAGTCTGGTGAAAGATTCCTCGATAAGATGGGCACGTATCAATAAAAATTCCTAAGTGGTATTGTTAAGCAAGGGTACACTGTGTCCTGTGTGATTCCTTAGCAAATAAAAAAGGCTCCTCGAGTCAGCTGCCATAACTTATCGTAGAGTGACAGCCCCCGAATTGGTGGGAAAAACATTGAAGCTGATTTTTCAGATTTGAGCTTTAGGAAGAAGTCTGCCGGGATCGCATATTAGCTGATGAATATCTGACGAATATGCCAGATTCAACGACGCTCCTACTATTTACCGCTCAGGCCGCAAGCACACCAGACGCAGAAGCTCTTTCTCCTTCCAGCCTTCTTCACCCTGTTCTTCACCTGTTTTCCTTCGCCGAAGCTACCACGTCAGCATCGATACCGGCTGCATGCCTTCGAACAACGCAAGACCCTTGTTAGCCTCCTCATCGACGTTCTCTCCTCGTCTTCGGTGA